CCCTTCCTCCGCTCTCCCGCTGCGCTCCCGCCTTCGGAGCCGTTTCCCAGCTCTGTTTCCCCTCCACAGCAGAATTCCCCGCAGCAGGAACCGCAGCCGCGGGGCCCGAGCTCTGCAGACAGACGGACACCGGCCCCGGGGCGGCAGGACCGCGGGGACGAGCCGGGCGCTTCCCGCTGCCGAAGGCTCCGCTGCAGCTGCTTGATCCCCCGAATGCCAAATCAGACGTATTTCTCCCCAAACCAGGCCCCGTGCGTGAGGGCAGCGGGAGGATCGCGGCCTCATCCCCGGCGGCAGCAGCAGGGAGGAGCAAAGCCCAAGGAAAGCACAAAAATCACTTTTCCTCCAGCAGCGTAACTCCCCGCGGGCACAGAGCGAAACCCCGGTGCCTGAGTGAGGCTTCTAGATTTAATTATTTTTTAATTAAAAAAAAAGAGAATCCGGATCAAAATGCTTCAGCTTATTTTATTGATCAGCTCAGTCTTCCCTCCGCTCTGACGCAGCACCGGCTGCCTTCCAGCCCGGCGGCTAGGTTGGGCTGCACCTTTCCCCGCTGCTGAGGAAGGGGCAGCAGCATCTTTGGTCCTTTTTTTGCGTTCACACAAACTCGACGCCAACAACCACAGGCGGGTCTGGCAGCGCGGGGCGGGAGCCTGCCCACACCCTGCCTGCGCAGGCAGCCCCTGGCAGGCAGGGAACGGCGGGAAGGGGCAGATCCAGCTCCCTCTCGCTTCAGAAAGGCCGGTCGGTGCCGCAGGGGACAAAGCCGGGACCCGTCTCCCCGCAGGGACGCGGCGCTGCCGTCCCTGCCCCGGCGGCTCCGGGGCTCCCGGCCACGTTATTGTGCTTTGGGACAGCGTGATGGCGAAGCTGGCTTGTACAATGGGGGGTCCTGAGGGTTAAGGCCATGACAGGCACGGGGATGTAGCGCGGGTGGTCCTCCTGAAGTACGCCCGGGGTCCGTGGCTGTTGCCCTGTGGCTCTGTGTCATTTGAATGAGAAATTAAGACGACGTCCTTCGAGCAAGGGGCCCACGTCCCAGGCGGGCGGCAGCAGAGTTCCCAAGTGACCCGAGCCGCTGTGACAGTCCCGCGTGTCCGGTAACGACCCCAGCTCTGCGAGGTCCCATCAGACACAGACTCGACAAGGCTAATTTACCAAAGACACGTTGAGAGACGGATATAAAAACCACCACAGTGATGAGGTCTGTAGACTCCAGGCTGGGAAATTTCAGCCGTTCTAGTGAGAGCTTTGGGATTCGATTTCGTACATTCGCAAGTCAGGATGTAAAAACACACAAAAAAACCCACAAAGGGATGAATCACTGTCTGGGAGCCTGAAACGAACCAGGGCTCTCAACGCAGCTCTTCCCTTCCTCCCTCATAAAATATATTTCCAGGGGCGGAGTCCTGACATCTATGGATGGAAAATGCGGCGCAGAGGGGGGCTGGGAAGAACGCACAAAACAAACACGCTCCACCACGTTACAGAGAGAAGAGGTAGGTATGCTCGAGCCAAGCCCCCGAGTCCGCCCTTCTAAGCCGCGTCTTTTGTTCCCAAATTAGTCATCTCTTGCAGAAAAATCCAGCTGGTTTGGGAAGGGGGTGGGGGCTAGTCTGCAGCCCCCCCGGGGTTGAGCTTCATAATGCACTTTGGACAGGAGAAGTCAAGCTTGAAAGCACAGAGGAGAGCTGAGCATCCGGGGAGGGTGGCGAGAGCAAAGCTCCGTGTTATTGCTAGTGGGTGGCCAACCAATTGAATCCCTGGGAGTAGAGGCAGCACAACGGCAGCAGTTGTGCCCGTTTAAGGCAGCGTTTCTACTAAACTAGGTTCCTAAACCACAACTATCTCCTAAACATGCAAGACTAACAGCTCCCAATTCAAGAGAAACACCAAAGCAATTGGCTAAGCCGGTCCTCAACTCATGACTTGATGCTTCTCCAGAATAAAGCCCTTCCCCGAGGCCTCGATCCCCGGGTCCCTCCTCCCGCAGCCCCACGCGGGCAGAGGAACCTCTCGGAGGACCCACCTCGCTTCGGGGGTCGGGAGCCGGGTGGACAAGGCAATCTGATATGGATGAGATGTTGAAAAAGGTCCTTGAAAGCTGGTCTGGCAGGGAACCAAGGCAGGTGGCAACCTCCGAAAGCCAGAGGACAGCGGGACAAGCTTTTCTTTCACGGGTGCCAGCTCCTCGGGCAGGCGCAGGGAGGTGCTGCCACGGCAGAGGCTCGAGCAGCCGCCGCTCCCCTGGACGGTGCTCGCAGGCCCGAGGAGATCGCGTGGGCCCAAGCGCTGCGTCCAGCAAAGCGCTGCTGGCTCAGAGCAGCCCCTGCCTGAGCGACAGCGGCCAAAAATCCAGCTGGTGGAGTCGAACCTTCCCTCTGGAGCTCCTCAGCCCCGCGCCAGCGGCCAACACCCGCAGCCACCCACCGAGCACGACCACCCCGCTCACACGCTCCCGTCCGCCTGCGTCATCTGCTTGATCTGCCGGCTGTGGACCACCTGCTGAGCCCCCTCCGCGACTTGGTTTAATCGTGTCTCTAGAGCGCTCCGGAGGTCGTTTACTTTCACATCTGGAAGGGGGTTGAGGCCAATGAAGACCCCCGCCCCCTGAGCAGCCTCCTCTTCATCCTCCTCGGGAGGCAGCAGGTCCCGTCTCCTCCGGCGGAGGTCCAGGTCCGCCTGCAGTTTCAGGTCACGGTTCGGTTTGACGTCGTGCTCCAGTTTCTGGTCCCCCTGGGCAGCTGCTCCTTTCTCAGACCCTTTCTCAGGGCCTGGTTTCTTCTCAGCATTGTTGGAGAACACCCCGTCGCCGTGCCTCTGCTTCCTCCGCAGACCTCCCTGCGGGTCCTGGGCCTCGTCCACCACGTTCTCTCGAGGAGCTTCTTCCTTTAGGTCCCCTCTGCCAGGCAGGTCCCTGCGCAGGTCTCGCTGCCGCCCGCCAGCACCCTCAGCTCCCTCGGCGTCTGCACCTCCGCGAGGCTCCCGCAGGCGCTGCTCGCTCGCTGCCACTCTGGAGGAGCCCAGCGCCACTGCCAGGTCTTTGGGCTCCACCTGACTCAGTGCTTTGGCTTTAAGGTCGATTCCTGAGTCTCTTTCCAGACTCTTTCCCTGAACTTTGGCAGCCCCCAGCTGTTCTCTTTGGATGGGAGCTGTAGCTACTTCCACAGCTTTCAGGGAATTCTTCTTCTCGTGGACGTCTCTTCCAGCTTTGGCTTCGCGATCTCCTCCTAAATCCTCCGCCAAGGGTTTCTTTTCTAGGTGGTTTCTGGCTGCTGGAATGCGTTGGGCATCCCCGTGAAGGGGATCCCAGTTCTCCGCTGCATTTTTAACAGCTCTCTCATTCTCCTGTGGCAGCACCTTCCGCTCCTTGGGAGGAACCCCGGGAATCTCACGCCTGTGCCCAGCCTCTTCCAGCTTTCCTGCAGCCCCCCTGCGCTGCTCCGCGGAGTCAGCAGGCTGCCGGCCCGCGCCCGGCGCAGGGGGCTCCAACAGCTCCTTGCTGAGCAGCTTTGCAGCAGCTTCTTGCTTAGCCCCGAGGCCCTCGTCCTCCTTGCTCTTGGAGAAAGGCACAGCGGGCTCCTGCTGCGTTTCCGCTGCAGAACAAAAAAACGACACAGAAAAGCTTTTTTCTTACGGGTGAGAGAGAGGCCCTTCTCCTGCCACCACGTTCTGCACGACGAGGCAGGAGAAGAGATCAATGGCCATAGGGGAGAACAGGGCCAGCGCGGGGGAGAGCGTTATCCCCGCGTTATCCCTCGGAGGCCGGGCTCCAACACGGGAATGGCTTTTGCAGAGCGGACTCTGCCACGTGCTGAAGGGACTTGGAGCTCTCTCTGTCTGATTTTAAAAGCTGCTCGGGGCAGCAATCAGCCTGCGGAGGGCTCACGTCTCTGGTGACGTCCTTACCTTGCTTTGGCTTCTCCTCCCCGCCCTCCTCCTGCCTTTGCTGGTGGATCTCCTTGTGCTGCTCTTCTATCACAGCCAGGAGTTTTGCCTGCTGGTCAAGTAGCTGCTTCTGCTGGACCTGCTGTTCTTTGATCACCTGCAGCAGCACGGCATGATCAAGCAGGTTCGCCTGCCCTGCTTCTAGAAAAGGAGAAAAAAAAATAATAAATCCACAACCCAAACCCCTCACTAATCTTCTGAGCGCTGGAGGGGCTGCAGGGGTTTTCCCGGGCAGGAAGGTCCCTGCAAACACCACTCACTCGCCAGGAGCAGGGAAGGACGCGGCCCCGCTCCGCCATACCCCTGCCAAGAGCCCGGCCTGGCCTCACGCAGGACATCACCCCCCCAGGACTTGGGTGGTGGGATCAAAACTGAGCTCTCGCTAACAGCTCAGGGAGAAAGCCGTGAAGAAAAGGTCGAGGGGAGCGGGTCTGCTGGGGCCCCAGCGCAGGGAAGGACGAGGCGGCGGCTCGGCGCTGGAGCTGGAAGAGGACAGGACCAGCAGAAGTCGGTCGGGAGCGAGGGGCTCGGCGTCCCCAAGCCTCCTGTGGTGCTGGGGAAGGCCCAGAGACCTCTCGAGACCAGCCAGGCTTCTCAAACCCAGATCACCTCAGAACGCACTGCGAGACTTCATCGCAGCTAAGCCAAGCCTGGAGAGACCACAAACAGCAAATCTTAGCAGGAACTGGATGGAAGAAGTCAGCTAAGGCTCAGCCCCGGGAGCTGCCCTCAGAGGGAAGGATCCCTCTCTGACAGAGATGCCCCACACGGCGGGATAAACCTACATGGAAACATCGACCCAACGAGTGGGGTAGAGGGGCTGAGCTGGGTGTTCGCAGGGAGCCAGTCCGAGCGATGAGAGGCCACTGCTGTCTCTTCTCCCAGCTCAGCCAAGTGAAGGTCTAGCCCGGCCCACGGCGGGAAAACACCCGCGGAACAATCCCGCTGAGGTTTTTGGCTCTGAGCACGGTGAAAGGGCCAAAATCTCCAGCAGCAATCAGAGGCTTAACGGCCGAGTACTCACACAGGTGGCCACAACAAAACCCAGCTCTCCCCTCCAAGGGACGGGAGGGGGGGAAATCCCTGCCCTGCCCTTCGCACCCGCCAAGTCACACACAGCGGAGAGCGCGCTTCGGGCCGAGCAGGAGTGACTCACGTCGATTCACTCGCCGCAAGCGACACGTCACGCACAAACTGTGAGCCCCAGGCCTGCAGGGAAACGCTGCTGCCTTTTCTCCACGCGGACAGACACGCAGACGTCTCGTCTCTGCGTGTCGCTCCCACGCCAGCAAGCAGCTTTCCTCCAAACCTCAAGGTGTTTCTAGACTATTACACCCCACAGGAAATAATGTCAAAATTAATAGCCTGTAAAATGCCATTTAAATTAAAAAGGGATGCTGTCCAGGTTAATCCTCCCCCTGTCCCGCTAATCACCCGCAAGGTGATTACAGAGAAATATTTCCAGTTCACGTTATGGCACTATTAGCTGAGGGCCCCTGGAATTCCCCTTCCACTCCACTGCGAGGGGGAATTCGGTCCTTTCAAGAGAGCAATTGACTTCTGGAGATCTGTTTATTTTTCGCACTTTGCTCAGAATAAACACCGAAAACAGAAGTCGGTTTCTACTATCTCGCCCTCCGAGCCCGCCGGGTCCCAGCTCGGCCTGGGAATGTTTGGGTTGAGCACGCAGCAGGCAAAGGTTTAACGCCAAATCAAAGCGTTTCTCACCGAGAGCTCCGCAAACACGCGGGGCTCGGGTGTTTGTGCAGCACACCTCTTCCACACAAACAACGGGCGACGCGATCTCCCGCCTCCTCCTTTGATGGTGGGGGAAGGAGGCCTCAGGCAGCGTTTCGGCTGGGTTTTGACAGGCACTCTTCATAAAAAACACCTTAAACGGTTCTAAAATGAAGGTACCCCGGGCAGATACACCCGGAGCACCCAACAATGGTCCCGGGGAGGCAGCTGTTCGCAGGGAGCACCCCGGGGGCTGCGCACCCTCCGCTGTGCTCCCGTGAAGCCTTTTCACCCTTTCCACCCTCTCTGGGGATGAAGCTCAGCTCAGAGCAGAGGAGCAGAACGAGTCCGGAGCACCTTTGGGTGACACCCTCACGGGGCAGCATCCCCGGCATCAACCAAGACGGAAAAAAAAAAAACCCACGGAAACTCAGGTCTCTCCATCCTCCTTGAAAGGTGAAGAGTCCTCACGGTCCGTACCCACCACTAAGCTTTTTGCGCTCACGTTTTGCAACACAGAACGGACAGAAAAGAATTAGAAAACCAAGATGTAACCACTAAACAAAGCAACGTGCCCGCCAGGAGCGGAGCCTGCCCGCTGCCATCGCTCATCGGGCCAAACTCCCATCACCCCCAGACCAGAACGACGGCGAAGAGCCACGGGACCCGCCACGAGCGGGCTCAGCCCCAGGAAGGGCTCAGCCCCAGCACGGAGCCAGCGTGACACACAGCCTCGAGCAGCCCCTGCGCCAGCCTGCGCCGCAGGCCTGGCACCGTCCTCCCTGCGCTCACAGCTCCAGCCTCCCCTCCCGGCACGGCCCGGGGACGCACGCTCACCCTCCAGCTTGCTCTCCACGTTCTCCTGTTGCTTCTCCTCGGTGTTTCGGAGCTCCCTCGGCTCCAGCTGATCCGCTCTGTCCGGAAGCGGCAGCTCCTGCTTCTCACCTGCGGACAAACAGATCGACAGACCTCTGCAGTCAGTAAGGATGCTCCGGCAGCAGATGTTCTCTAAAATGACTCTACGTCGCATTGTCCCTCCCTGCCCGAGTCGGCACAGTTTATATTCAACCCGATAACTGCAAGGGAAGTAATAAAAAAAAAAAAGATTTAACAATCTTATAGACTCGTGGCAGTGAGCCAGCGCTAACTACCTCAGCCAATTAAAATGCAAGAACGGTTCTAACTAGCGTTTAGACGGGCACTTAGCAATGTGTTACCTGTCAAGATCTCCCGGCTCCGTGTCCCCAGTGAGTTCGGAGACGCACGGGAACAGCATGGCACCTGACATTTAGCAGGCGAGCAAACAACTGTTTGACAGATACTAGAGTAGCTGTCAAAGCCACCAGATTCCCCCTTTTCCCCAACAGCTGCTGAAGGGGCCGTGCACACTCACACGCTAATCTCGTGAAATTAAAAGGAAACACTGGGGTGTGTAGGTAGGAATAAGCAAATTGCCCAGTCTCTGGCTGGGGGGGAATTACAGGCCAAGAGGAGAGTTTGTTCAGACGAGCCTCTGTGGAAGGAGCTTACCAGGGTCAGCTTCCTTCTCCACAGATTTCACAGCCTCCTCTGCTTTCCTGGGGAGCTGGAGCTTTGATTTCTCCCCGTCACCTGCAGCCTCAGCTTTCTTCTCACCGTCCGGCGCGGCAGCTTGCGCCTTGGCTTCCAGCTCTTGTTTGTCTGGCTCCAGCTCTTTGTGTGGCAGCCTGCCATCCTGCTGCACGATCACCTCCAGGACGTTCTTCGGATTTTTAGCGGGCTCGTCAGTCCCTCCCCGCAGTTGGCTCTCAGCAATCGCTTCCTTCCCTTGTTTCGGGCCAAGTGCCTCATTCTGGGGATTCAGGGCGGCTGGTTCCTCCAGCACCGGCTTCAGCAGACGATCGTCGGCTCCTCCGGGCACGAGCTTGTTCTCATCGGATTCCTCCCGCTCCCGCCCCATGTCCACCACCACTTCGTCGTGCGGGACGGGTGGCTCGTGGCGATGTGCTTCCCCCACGGGCAGGGCAATCCCTAGGGCGGAGACAGGCGGGGTCAGGGGGCCCGAGACTGACGGGAGAGAGGAACAGGCACCCCCAGCTACCCGCTGCCCCGTTTCAGCCCTGCCCCATCAGGAGGCTGCATTCCCAACCAGCCTCGGCAGCATCAGACGCTAAATCCCCTTCAGTCCGCGAGGTAACGAGCAGAGAGCAGGATCTTTATCTGAACCAGTCCTGCACCGTGCAGCTCCCAGCCCCAGAGCTGGCACCCCTTCCCCACTTTCCTCATTACCTTGATCAGGACGGTCAAGCTGCACTTTCTCCTCCGGCTTCCCTCTCTCCTCCTCTCTCTTGGGTACCTCCATGGGCACCTTGATTTGCGGCTGCTCCATCTCCTCCTTCTCCTCCAGCAGCTTCGGTTTATCGCGGTCATCCTCCGCCTCCTCCACTGCCGGGTTCTGCTCTGCAAACACAGGACAGTTAACGCCACGAGGCTACGGGCGGCCGCAGCGTCAGGCCACCGGCAGGACCGCGGCGACTGCTCTGTCTGCTGCAGCCCCCTTTACCGACACCAGCAGCCCAGCCGCTCTGTTCCCTCCAGCCTTAGCACGGGGCGGGGGGTCGGGGGCTTTTGTTCTGGGGTCGCCTGTTTGTTTTCCCTACGGTGGCTTGGGAAGGAGCTGCCGGCAGGGAACCCCAGGCCAGGCGGGAGACGGGGCCGGCGGGGACCGGCTGCCGCTGCGAGCCCGTGCCGCCAGATGGTAGCATCCTCCCGGCTCCCCCG